GAAGGTCGCACCCATTTCACCAACCACAGGGAGAAACAAGCTGCACTCTTAAACAGACCTTCTACTTGAGAATCCAAAACAGTAGAGATACGTATCCAAATTTGTGAAAAGATAGATAGAAAACCACTGTCATCTGGAAGATTAATGTTTATGTGAGCTACCTCAACCAGTTGATTTCTCTTCCTGTTACACTTTTGTGAATGAACTGGAGGGGACAAGTCTTTAAGGTGCAAATCTCAACTGGAGAATGAGAAGCTTATTTGTTAAAATAAGTAAAACAGGTGTTGCCTTTAAGTATACGATGTTATTTTTCTTCTTTTTCTTGAAGTTCAAATTATATATTTCAATTTTTTCATGTAAAAGGGTGGATATTAGAGATCTGGTAAAACACCCCTCTCCTCTCTTTCATCTGGCATAAATGCAAAAACCTTTATGGATTACATGAATATAAAAGTCTTTCTGGGTTACTGGTTCAGGGACAGTAAGGAAAGGCTTTCAATATCGCTTTGTGAAGAAGGTATAAAAGGGATCCAGAGGAGGAGCTTTGGCTGTTTCCTGTCCACAGTGGAGACCAAAAGGAGTTGAGCAGACATGAAATCTTCGTTAAATTACTTCCAATTAAGAAGTGAGTGTGGAATCCCTGCTCTTAGTTGTGATCCCTTTACATTGCTTAGAAATGTAATCTAGTCTGAAATGAGAAATACTGACAGAAAAAGAGGGAAAAAAAAATTCAATTCTTTCAGTTAGCTCTTTAGTCTTGATTTTACTGGATGGATGTGCATAGCTCATGATAACTGTGTAGTCAGTCTGAGTTTGGTTTCTTGTAGATGCATTTCTGTGATTGTTAGTTTTGTCAGTGGGGAAGAGACAAGGCTTTTACTGCTTTGTGTTTTGAGTGCAGAAACCAAGAAAAAAATTATTTGAGGTGCAGCTGTGAGTTGAATTTGATTATGTTTTTAGCATTAGAGAACAAAGACTGAACAAAAGGATAAAGCACCAGCCTAATGCCACCACTAGATTATGAACTTTTTGTTCTGTGATTATGAAGGCTTTTGCTGTGCCTGGCCTGGTTTCTCATGGTTAGTTCTAAGAATGATGTTGCCGACAGAGCCGGTCAGGAATCTTTAGTAAAATTACTTGAAACAAAATTCTCAAAACTTACACTTCCCATACAAACGTTATCTGTTACAATGGGAATATAAAGAGGGATTTATAGCCCCAATGTGTTATTTCTAAGTCAGAGTTGAGGGTTGGCTCTAAGAGATAAGGAAGAGAGATCAGGATCACAAATTATCTAGTAACTCAAATTGAACAGATCTTTGAATTGGCATCCCGAGTGATTATGCCTCTGGCTTTTTTAGCCTTTCAGTATTTTTGTCCACGAAGGGACATTATAGCTTACACAGTCCTGGCTCTTTATCACAGCTGCTTCCACCCTTCTTTTCCCTTTGAGGCACAGAGCTGTTACACAATAGATTGTCTGCCCAGGCAATCCAAAGGAATCATTCCCTAGATGTTTTACTAAATTCACCTGTTCCAGCAGCAAGGGAGTTTCAAGGCTGCTATTGTTTGTTGTACTCCACTTACTTTCCATTATGGTATGATTGACATCAGATGGTCCAGGACAAAGTGTCCCCTTTTCAAAAGCTGTGGCACCAGATTAAGTTTGAGGTCACTCATAATGTGGATTCAGCCAGAAATAATTCTGAAGTGTCTGCTCTAGTGGAACTTGATTCCTATACTATATTAACATGCTTCTTAGTTTGGTGGGTACTGAAGCAGGAATCATGCCAAAGCACTGTAGGTGGTCTTGGCCCAAGATCTCATTTACTGCTGGTTCAGTGCCTAGGCTGATGTTGAGTTTCCTGCTCCACCTTCAGTGATGGATTCTGACTCTGAAGTGTTTTATGGATGGCAAAAGCTTTAACTTACGTGTCCTTTTTATTTTCCAGGAAATTCGTATTTAGTATAAACACTAAGCTGTTTCCTGGGGGCACACTGCAAAGTACTGACTGCAACTTCCTTGCTAGTTATTCTAAATGGCACTTAGTAATCCATGGATGAGTTTATCTTTCTGCTCAATTACTTCCCCAAAATCCAGTGGTTTTTTCCTCTATACTTGAGTCTAATGAGAATTTGAGGTCTTTAAAAGTTATTTTCAAGTTCTGTCATCAGTCATTAGTTTTGATTCAAAAATTCACCAATGAAATTTGGAGGCTGTGTTACAGTGATCATAATGAAACTTTCAGGGCATTAACACCTGTGAAAGCTTTGGATTTAATTTGTTAATTTCTGAGGAACTTCAATGATAAAATTGTAATGAAATTTTTTACTTGCCAGTTCCTTAGGTGTGCTAGGATGTAATGTAGCAAAAGAAACATAACTGCTTCTCGGCGTCTCAGCAGGGTGAGGAGAAACGTCTGTCTTCTTGAAGTAGAACCTTCTTGTACTCATGATGTTATATTGGTGTTCTGTTGTTTCTACAATGGCTGAAGGAAATGGAGTAATCTTTTGATTAAGACAGATTATTTCAGACAGCTAGGTTATCCTTCCTGTGATCTTCAGGAAGATGGTATCTCAGTGCCTCATTTGCTGAGGTGGAGGTCAGGGGACTCCTCTCCCTTACTTGTGCTGTTGGGTTCAAAGCACTGTAGGGTAGGCACAATCTCCCATAGTCCGTCTGTACAGTAGATAGAGCAGTGACAGTCTAGCCACTGCCATAATATTAATTTATCATAATGTAAAAATTACAAACATTTAACCTGTTTCCTGTCTGATTATTAAAATTTAGTCCTCACTTATACTGGGGGTTGTCTCTAGTTCTGTTATCCCAATAGTTACTTTAAAAAGGAGGTCAGTTTTTATTAATCCAATAGTAGTAAATTTCTATATATGGCAAATGGTATTGATTCTCTTACTGTATAGATTTTATGGAAGACCTCTAAGGTATATTAGAACTATTTGATGCAAGCTGCTTTTATGCTAGAAGGAAACTTTTTGTTCAACTTGGAACCAGTTTTTCTGTGCACGTGGTGACTCTTCCTTTGCAAGAAATTACTCGAGTAATCTAAAAATCTTTCCTGTGTTTCTCTGGGTACTTAAGGTAACATTATTACATAGCTTTTGGCTATTCGGTTTGCTGAAATCTTGTTCTTGGGGAAAGCCACCTGGAATTTTTATGCATACTACATCAATTTTTTAGATAATATTAGTGGTTGTTTCATGCGACAGCTGGTTAATGAGACCTCTGATTTGGTACTCTGTAATGTGCAGGATCCAGTTCAGAGCCTTGAGTTAAAGCCACACTTTGTAAGAATAATCAGAGTGTGTGTTAGATTCAGCAGAGGGACAGTTAATGTAGAGACAGGAACAATTAAACCTCAAAGCTCCTCTGCAGTTTTGCTCGGTTTTAAAAAGAACTGTGTTAAAATGAGATAGTCTCAGAATAGAGCTAAAAGCTGCAAAATAAATATTTAGCTGCTGGCATCCTTAAAGAGTTGTGTTCAAACACAGCTGAAAGCATCATAAACGCTGGCAGATGCAATGTGAAAATAGACAGGCCTGAAAAAACCCCAAAAGATCAAGGATCAGCTAGTTGAAGGAATCAAAGCTTTTACTATATTCCTTGTTAAAAACATCAAGAACAAAAGCCCTGCAGAGGGTCTCTGCAACCAGTTGATTTAAGTTGTGCCTACAGCAGAGATGATAAACAAAATGGAGTTTACTGCTAATTGGGAAGATTCCTTTTTTGCAGGGGGTGGGAAATGAGAGGGGTTGATCTAAAAAAAGCCTCAGGGATGAAGTTGTTTACTTGCTAAGGGTAATATCTGATCTCATGCTTTAAACTCCCTGACTACTTAAAGCCTGGAGGGTGGCAAATTTTATGCCAGTGTTTAAAACAAAAATGACCAGACAACTGTAAGCCTGACATCCCTACCAATCAAAGTTATAGATATTTTAACAAATTATAAAAGTCACAGAAGTGAGGAGGATCATCTTGGGAAGAGTGAGAGGGTTTCTTTAAAGTTAAGTTCTCCTTTCCAAACCTGTTGTAGTTTTCTTGGTGAGGGTGAGAAAGGTGGATAAGATTTAGATTCCCAAAAGGCTTTTAGTAAAGTTTGACATCAAAGGCTTTTGAGCAGCTATTGGATAGGAATGCAGGGCTTTGTGTGTTAAATAATGGATTCAAAGACAGGAGGAGGGGTAAATGATTGTGGTTTTTTGTGAAGGAGAGAAGTTACCCCCAGAGTTTTTGATGATTTGGTCTTGAGATCTGTGCTGTTCAGTATAGTAATAACAGGGTAAAGGCAGTGAGTAGTCAAATGAGAGTTTTCTGGTGTTAGGGTTCTTCAGGGCAGTAAAGAGGGAAAAAGAGAGTGAAGGATTGCAGGAGGCTTGTACAGAGCGGAGTGGCTGGGCAACAGTGCAGCAGGGGTGGTTGCCCACTAGCGGGTGAAACAAGAGAACACGTCAGCCTGGAAAAGAGATGGATGAGAACATAGGAAAGAATTATCCAGATGATAAGAGACCTGTGGGTCTTCTCATGAGAGATGACAGAGGATGTCTCTGACAGAGATGTAAGAACATACTGTTGATTAAGATGTTTCCAAGGAGAAACTAGAGGAGTACTTCAGAGAGAACTCCTTTGGCAGTTACAAAATAGACCAAGTATGAGAAGCTCAGGGAAACTCTTGAAACAAAAAAAGTATTTTAAGAAAGTATTAAGTATGGTTGCACAGTTCTTATGATTCCCTGTTGTCACTGTTGGAGGTAGAATACTGGGCTATGTTCACTCCTTGTCCATGCTGTTATGGCCATTGGTCTCTTATTCAGTTGCTTTGACTGGTAAATTTGATATCAGATCTATTTTAATTCATATGTAAATAAATAAATAAATAAAGAATATAAGTTTTTTATGTATATTTAACTGTAGTTAAGAAAAAGATTTTTTTTGTATGTGACTAAATATGCTGTTTGTTTTCCTTCCTTCCTTTCTTTCAGTATCATTTTATGGTGATAGCTTTGTGGAGTTGAACATGGCAGAAGTATCCTCTCAGACATCCTTACAGCTGTGGTTTCGAACAAGCAAGCCACATGGATTGCTTTTTCTTGCAGCTGGAAAGAAGGATTATTGTTTAATGGAGCTACGCTCAGGAAATTTACAGGTATGGTTTATAACTATAACTAAAAAGGTGTGTGTAGCCTATGTTGTTTAGTGTTTTTCTTCAAGCTGTTGTGCATAACAATTCTCAAAGTTTATGTTTGAAAAAATGGAAAATATCACACAATGTAATTGATAATTTCCAAAGATGGTATTTATTTCTTACGATGGTAGTTATTAAAATTGGCCTCTAAAAGCCTTTGAGATGTCTAGATATCAAATTAAAGATCATTGTGTCCAAAGCATGAAGTTAAGTAAAGGCAAAATTTCAGGTTTGATGATGTTAGCATTATAGAAAGTGTTTATATAAAAATAATAGTTTTTCTGCAAGGTAAGTTCTTGAAAGATCATTGTCACTGTGTTCTCAGGAGGTTTTGGTTCTAGCAGAACTGCAGAGGAGTCCATCCCTTCTTCTACAATTATTCAAATCATATTTGTGATAGAAAGTAAACCTCCACAAAATTTTAGTGGTATTTTATTGTTTAAATCTGTAAATTACATACTTAATATGAAAATTAATCTATCAATATATGATTGTGAAAAATACCACTTTGGATTTTGATAGTTAAAATTCTGTCTCTTGCAGTTGAGAATTAACTTTGGCATGGGGGAACAAGTACTGCATTCTCGGCAAAGATCTCAGCTGAATGATTTAGCTTGGCACCTCGTTGAACTACATCATGAACATGATAATGTCACATTGGTAGTTGATAAAAATGATAGAACTAATGCAAAAATGCCTGGAATTCTCTATGAACTAAATATTGATTATGGATTCTACGTAGGTGGTACTAGCAAACTTGACGTTCCTTACCTTGTTGGAGCATTGCCCAGTTTCCGAGGATGCATTGATCATGTGTCATTCAATCAGCTAGACATTCTGATGCCTCTGAGACCTTCTCCTGGCTTTAAAAATGTCCATGAAGTTTCGGTGGGATGCAGTGATGAATTCTTTGCAGGTGAAGATGAGTCCATTAGTTTCTTCAGTTCCAGATCCTATATTTCTTTCCCGTCATGGAATGTTGATGATGAGGGAATTTTGGAGTATACATTGCAAACCTCAGCTTCACGTGGCTTGCTGCTTTACCATCCTGGGCAAGCAGGAGATTTCATTGCAATGGAAATGGAAGATGGATTAGTTAAAGCCTATGTTGGAAAACATAAAAGTAGAACCCAACTTTCCTCTCGTAGGTCTGTCAATGACAGTCATTGGCACTACATTGAACTGAAATTTACTGCAGAATATTTGCAGCTAACACTGGATGAAGAAACAATTAAAAAATCATTGCCTCCCCACAGCGAGCTACCACTTCTGAAGGGGTCTCTCTTTGTAGGTGGTGTAGATGACAGCACACGATCAGAAGTGATTAAGTTAGAGCTGACTTCAGTGTCTGGGAAGTATGCCAGAGGAGGGTCCTTCAAAGGTTGCTTAAGAGATCTGAAGGCCAATTCAGAAAAGAAATCGCTGAAGGATGTTCTGGTAACAAAGGACATTTCAGCTGGATGTGAAACAGACAGTGCTTTTAATAAAAATCTTTCTTTAGAGATGGCTGTCAAGAGCCCTACTGTGAAAGCAGCCCCAACATTTGCCATTTCCTCTGAAAGCTCTATCTCTCTGGGCAAGGAAGATAAAAGCCACTTTTTAGTTCTAAGTAAGTTGATTGTGCTAGAGGGTGGACAAGCTTCTCTCGAATCTCAACATATTCAAGTCAACTTAGACTTTCAGAAATTAGGGATTCATCAATCACAAATTCTTTTTGAAATAAAGGAACCACCCTCTCATGGAGACTTGAAAATAGAAGTTGAACCAGTGCAGAAGGTAAATACGTTTACTCTGCAGGATGTGTGGCAAGGGAAGATTCGTTATGTCCATGATGGCTCTGAGGACACTTACGATTATTTTAATTTCTCCATTTCTACCAGTAGCAAAAAGATTGTGCCTCTATATTTGCAGGGAAATGAGCAGCATGTGTTTAGCGTTACTGTCACTCCAGTAAATGATGCACCTGAAATCACACTTCCTGAGGGAAACTTGCTTCTTATCTTAGAGAACTCAAAGAAACGTTTGACTAGTGATCTAATAAAAGTTCTAGATAAGGATACAGATCCTGTGGATCTCAGTCTTTCAGTGCTTGGAAATCTGAATGCAGATGCAGGATTTTTAGAAAATTCAAAGCATCCTGGAAAAGCTATTACTACTTTTTCTAACGAGGACTTAAGAGAAGGCACTATTTTCTTTGTCCACACAGGCATCAAGAACTCAAGAATTGTTCTGAGGGCGAGTGATGGTGAGAAAGTGAGCAATACTGTTGTGTTACGTGTCATGGCAGTTCCTTTGGAGTACAGAGTTGTCAACAACTCAGGAATAAAACTACTCCAAGGTGTTACAGCTCTGATCACACCTAGTCATCTGGCAGTTGAAACAAATGCCAACCTCCAGGAGCTAGAGGTACGATACGAGATCACAGAGCCACCTCAGTTTGGGGAAGTCCAAAGGCAGCATTCAAGGAGGGAATGGAGGCGAGTCAACTCTTTCTCTCAACGCTCTGTTCAGCGCAGCCGTGTGAGATACTGTAGTACTTTTAAAGAAATTCAGCGGGAAAATGTTACTGACCAATTTAAATTCAGAGTTAGCGTAGGAAACAGAATCAGTGAAGAGCACACATTTCCAATCAAAGTGAAATGGCTAAGGTACAGTTTATTGAAACATGCTCCTCTAGAAATTGAAAAATCAGAAAAGAAGTACTTGAATTCCGATAATCTTTTTGCAACGATTGTGGATCTAGAAATACCTGAGGATGAGCTTAATTTTAAATTGCTGTCTGTGCCGAAGTATGGACAAATGCTACTCAATGACCAGCCTTTGAAAAAAGATTCAGTCTTTAGCCAGAAAGATATTACTGATCAAAAAGTGGCATATGAATTAATCGGCAGATACCATGAAGACAAATGTGATTCATTTAGATTCCTCATTTCTACAAAGTATCTGGAGTCAAATTTATATGACTTTGAAGTCTACATCAAATCAGATTTCAGAAACATTATTTTGACTAACAATGGCCTAACTGTTACTGAAGGTGAAGGAAAGTTAATAACAAGCACAAAATTGTTTGTGCAAACACCAGATAATAAAACTTTCCAATATAAACTTACACAGTTTCCTAAGCATGGGAAATTAAAACTGATTAATTTTTCGGGGTCACTTGAGAGTAATGACAATCTTACCACTTTCACTAACAAAGATATAACTGATGAGCGCCTTATGTACATGCATGACGATTCTGAGACAACATTTGATGAATTTCTTGTCAGAGCTTCCAGTGAAGAGACAGGAAAGTGGGCAAACTTTGATCCAGAAGTAGAACCTTTTTCAGTAGAAATTAGATTCAACATTTCTGTCCAGCTGAAGAATGATGAGAAACCAGTACGTGTAATTGATAAGGTATTTAACATAGTGAGAAATGGGCAGCGATTATTAACTTTGGCAGATCTTTGCTATCATGATCCCGATTCTGATTTTGATGATGGACAGTTGCTATATACTAGACGTGGCATTTCCAATGGGGACTTGGTGCTAACAAATGATACCTTGCACAGACTCTACCAATTCAAACAAGTGGACCTGGAGCAAAAGCAAGTCCTGTTTATACACCATGGTGCAGATTTTGCACGTTTTGTGCTCTTTGTGACAGATGGCAAGCACTATACCTCTTTGCTTCTAGAAGTTAATGCCACTGATCCTTATGTTAGGTTGGCAAATAATACAGGCTTGTTGGTTCAGAAAGGAAAAGAGGAAGCTGTTACAACAGATAACCTAAGTGCTATTACAAACCAAGACGTCAGAAATGATAGTGAGATTACATATGAGATAGTATCTTTCCCACAATATGGAAGAATATATGTAAATAATCTATTGATGGACTCCTTTACTCAACTTGATCTGATAAAGGGGTGTGTGACCTACAGGCATGATGGCAGCAACAACCTTACTGACACATTTAACTTTACGGTCCGTGCTGGAGATCTCCATCTGGATGCTGAAGTGCATGTTCGCATATATTTGGAAAGTTATCAGTGGCCACCAAGGATTGTGAACAAAAACAATCTCTTAGTTGAAGAAGGAAAACCAGTTAAAATCAGTAAAGGGAAACTGCAGGTAAGTTAACTGTGTTGTGCATTTCTCCAGTCTTTTAGCAAGTTTTCTTCACTGCTTCCTGAGCCATTGTAATGTCTTTAGTCTCTCTGCCTTCTCCTCTTTAACTCCCTTTGGTTTTCACCAATATGACAGCATTCTGGATGCTTAATTCTGGAGTGACTAACACTAACAAGTTTCTCTTTCTAGAAAGGAAGTGTGTTATGTCAAAGAAAAAGACTGCCCATAGTCTTTGACTCTGTTATGTATTGGTGCTTGAGAAAGTTAAGACTTGGAGATGCTGCACTTGTATATTTGTTTTAGTTATGACAATTGTTTATACTTAATGTTCACATATCATTTGTAGATGAGCTGGTGGAAATGCCAAGGAATAAAAGGTTTTGTTTTGTTTAGTTTGGAGCTAACCCAATTAACACTGTCTGAGGCTTGCATCCCAGATTTTAAAAACGTCAGGTCACAAACCTGAGACTGTTTCTCTTTGCTTCATATTTTCCTCCCCATTGTTCGTGTATAGCCTTTTGGTAACCGCTGTGTGGGTCTCTGGGAGCACGGGGCTGTGCTGCCAAAATTTTTGTTTCAGACAGGAGCCTGCAGTGTTTAGGCTATTAGTTAATTCTGCAGTGTGTTTCTTTTCAAGATTTACAAATTTTGGGCTACTGAACACTCCCACACCACACCTTTTAACAACTCGACTTAAAGTATAACTGTACCGTATCAGGAATTTGCAGGTACACTGTATAACCCAAACAATGAATGCCAGTTAATTAGGCAGACAATCCAAGGGTTAAAAGTGAAAAATTCAGAAGAGAACTAAATAATTTCTCCCATTTCTGTTTAAATAATTTTGGGGTATGTTTTTAAATTTAAGGTTGTTCATGAAAACAGTTCTCCATCTGAGATTGTGTTCACAGTAAGACAGCTTCCAGTACACGGATACATTCAGAAGTTTTCCTCAGAAGAAAGTTACCTTGATGCTGACCAAAGGCCATTTTTGAGCTTCACACAGCAAGATGTTGACGAGGGCAAAGTTCAGTATGTGCAGACAGTTTCTGACCAACTAGATGACTGTTTTTCTCTGGATGTGACCAACGGTGTCCGAACAGTGAGTGGAATAGAGATCTTTGTAGACATCATCCCCAGAATGATTCACCTGGAAGTACAGAACTTCACAGTAATTGAAGGGGGCTCAAAAGCCCTGGTGGAAGATTATCTAAAAATTTCTAGTAGATACTTTGCAGGACTCAGCTGTGAATTTATTTTAATTGAGCAGCCAAAACATGGGTATGTTGAAAACTCTCAAGTTCCTGGAATAAAGTTAACCACATTTACCAGAAAACAGGTAATGCATTTAGATCTGCTTTGCTGTGGTTATGATTAATCTTTGTATTGGTAAAAGCTAATTTTTCCCTGCAGTAAGGTGATGTGGTAGGAGGTGGTAAGATGCGTATGTTTGAGCTTTGTTCTAGCCTTGTACCAAAGATCTTTCTGCAGTTGCAAGCTGGTCATTTGGGGTGGGGAGGAATGTGCCTCGTTGTTGTGGTGAACCACATCACTTCCTTGTGAGGCACCGGTCACACAGACTACTGTGCTGTAGTCACAGTAGACTGATGGGCCACTCATATTCAAGCAGAGTTGTTGATACAAGGGAAACCTAAGACAGACAGACAGACTGTGGGGATATTTTGAGAAGACGAGAGGAAATGGTGTGTAGATTGAATAAGGAGCAAAGTGGAAAAAAAGTATGGTTTTAGGTCATGTCTTTGCTTGTATTATTTGCTCAATAATATACTTACTATGCTTAGTATATGCATAATAAGGGAATTATCAGTCTTTGAGCTCTAAGAAGCAAAACTTTATCTTAAGTCACCATCTACTAATACAATGCTCAGTTTATAGATTCCAGGAAACATTTTGGTAAATATAGTGGGATTGGATTCCGTTCAGAGAAAAAGGAAAATGCCAAGTCTGACAAGTTAAGATATTCTGGCTAGAGGAATGGACAAATGAGCTGTAGAAGTTGCTGTTTTGGGCAGAATAGATGTACAGATCAAATATGAGCATAAATAAAGTCTTTGAAGTAGTAAAAATTGGGGTAATAAATACAGAGGGGCATGACTAGACTTGAATATTTTTGGGTTTTTTAGATGTGGCATTAATTTTCTTTCAGCCTCTTTAATTCTTCAGGTGGTTGTATTTTTCAGGTGGAACAAGAACTGATCTACTATATTCACGATGACAGTGAGGAACTGACGGACAGTTTTACTGTGATAGTAAATTACACGGAATTGTGGAAACAAAGCTTACCCCAAACTATATTTGTAACAGTTACTGCAGTAAATGATGAAGCTCCTGTTATAAAAGTTAACAGAATTCTTTGGGTATGTTTGTCAACATTTTGAAATGTTAAAATTATTTCTAACCTGACAATATTTAATGCACCTTCGTTAACAGAGTATTATGTTTGTATCTGGTGGGATAGTAAATATATTAAATTTAAATAAATTAGTGTTAAGGAAGGTAGGCAGTATATAGGTAATGTGTATTTAGGGAGATTCTAGGCATCATAAAGAACATTGTCTGCTGTTGTAAAGTTTTATCTAGAAGGCTGACTGAGCTTTCTTTTGATCGGAAAGATAATTGGGAAGTCTCTTGGACTGGTACAGAGCATGTGAGATGGGATGGCTTTCGCCTGGATCATTGTTGTGTTCTAGTGTTGTTTGCTAAGGTAACTTGAGGACAGTTAATGACAGTGTAGCTTGGAAGGGTACCAAGAGCAGTGACAGTGAGAGTGCAAACATCTTCAGACCCTGTGCATCTTGCCGTTAAGTGTACTGAAGGGTCGGATGTGCTGAGGTGCATTCTGCTACCTGCTCCTCTCTGCATCCCCAGTGAGACGGGACAAGAGAAGAGAGCAGCATTCTCAGTGGCACTGCATTAGAGAACTGACTACGTGTTGCGTATTTCTGATACAAAACAGGAATGTTCCCTTCTTTAGCACTTCCTGATAAGAATAATGCAATGCAATCTGTGACAATGTAAGCTGTTAGAGGTCATCAGAATGTTAGTGCAGACACTGAAGCTATTGCTGTGTGCTATGGTGACCTAAAAAACCTGACATGCTAGCATGTTTCTAACTCTGCTCCCCCCAAATTCCTAAAGAAAATTTTGAAATTGTTGACTGATGCTACCTTTTCCTCTTAATAACCGCAGCTGAGTTGTTAGTCTTTTGATCTTTGAAAAAATTCACTACTCTAGTTTCAGTTTCAATGCTTTTTCAGGTTTATTTATATATTTATTTATTGGATTGTTATCTGTTTGTGTTATAATAGCACTGAGTAACCAGAAACAATTTATTATGGACACTGTGTCCATGTAAACCAAAAAGCCCCCATATGTAAAGGCTTCCAATCTCAGATATGATGAATAAAAAAAATTTGGGTGACCCTGAAAAGCAGAATGAAATGGATCTGAGTCGGCTAATGAACCTGTGGTCACAGTAAGCCAGCTGAGAGCCCTCAAGACAGAGAAGAAATTTAGGAATGGGTTTGAAAGAAGCTAAGCAGGGTATTTTGAGGGTATGTCATTCCCAGTGCTGTATGATGCAGTTTACAAATTGATGGCGCCTAAAGCTTATATTTAATTCACATATTTAGTTGTGTGTTGCAGAGGGAGAGTGGATTACTGTAAAGATGATTGTAACCTTGTGTTGTGTATTTAGCCTTTTCACATGAGAAAAGACACAGTTTTTAAACAGCAATAGTGATAGTATTGTGCAGTTTTGCAAGGACAGCAGGTAATCCATGATAGTCTGCAGATGTCCACAACACAACAGACCCTGCCCTGTGCAGAGGCTGCTGGCAGAAGGGCAGACTCACTTCACAGGCATTTGGGTGGTGCAGAGTAAAACCTCCCCTGATGAAAGTAGTTACAGTTGTACTCTACAGACATCAGCATGGCATACAGTAATGTTTGTCTGGTCTCAGATGAGAGGTATATATGTCCAGTCAGAAATTTTTCTGTGTCTCCTTTTTCTTGTGCATTGCTGGCATTGAACTGCAGTCTGTCAACAGAATTGAGGCCATGCAGTGCACCACAGTGCAGCATATGGATTTTTCTAAAAATAGGTGTAAGCCTGAGTGTCCCAAGAATAAAGATAACACAGTTTAACCTAGCCAGAGTTGTTCCTCTCTGCTCAGGAGGCAGCTTTCGTACCCAGAAGCAAGATGCTTCCTTTGTGCCTGTGGTTTTTGCTGGTCATGCATAAGCTATTGCTGAGAAATAACCTTTATTTTTGTCATGAGTGGGTACTAATATGCACGTGTATGTTGTGCAGACTAAAACAAAGCTGGCAGTCTGGGAGGAATACACTGAGATGCTCCTTCTTAAAAGCAAACTTGCATATCCAAGTAGGTGGCAGAAAATAGATTTTTCTTAGTCCTGCTAAATATTGAGATTATTCCTGTGATATTTGCTGGCCCCATGTTCTAGCCAAGCAGTCTGGGCTCCTCAAGGACAGTGCTAGGGGTGGATGTTGACAAAAACTGTGTGTTGCTTTTAAAAAGGCAGTATCTCTTATAATAATATCTTTTGAAAGGCTGGAAATGTACAAAATATACGAAAGTATAAAATGAGTGACCAGTACTGTGAAAACTGAGGTCCAGTAGGACCATTTGAGTTGACTGAATTTTAGCACCTCAGAAATTTTGCAGATCTCAATATAAAGAGTTAGAAGAACTGATGAACAATTGAAAAATAGGTTAGCTTTTGCCATCTGCTGTTCAGAAATAACTCTGTGAAGAGCTGCATTATGTGCCCAGTGATGCTGGTGTGGGTATATGGCAGTTGGCCTTTGTTATGTGGCTTCTGGACAAATGCAAGAAACGATTGAGCATGTGCACACAGGATGAGTAAGTCCATGCTCTAGCTCCCTCACTTCTGAGGCATTCATGACATCCCTTCTTCAAGCAATCTTGTTTGTTGGTATGAAGGTTATGAACACCATAAAGGTTATGAACACCATTGGAGGAGTTTCAGGAGGACAAACAACCATTTTGGGGGTTGTTTCTGATTTTACTCTAGGAAGTGAAAGTAAGTTAAGTTTTTAGGTTTTGTTGGGGTTTTTTGTTCTGTTTTGGAGGGGGGTTGTTTTTGTCTGCAAATTTATGTCATGCTGAAGTATTTACATTAATGTAATATATGAGATACAGAAAATTCTACTGTCCTGAGAGCTTCTGTAATTTATGCTAGTAATCCTTGAATTTCATTTAAAGCCTTTCCATTAGAAGAGTAAGTGCATGAGGGATATGTTTATTTAAAAACTATACAGTATTTTAGATATAATTTCCTAAAATTTTCACGTTTTATGATAATTTTTTTTAATTTGGTGGGAATGGGGAAGGGAAATAGGGTATTTTTAAGAAAATCACTATCCTGGTGTTATTCGCTGCATTTATGTATGTGTTTAAATGTATTTATGGGTAGTGATGCCGTGAAATGACTGTGTCCTCCTCTTGCCACAAGAGGGCCGCATTTTCCAAGAATTAGATTTTTTAAGAAAACAAATTCCAACACTGATTTTTTTTTTTTTTTTTTCCTTTAAATCAATCACTTACCAGAGTATTAAAATTACCATGAATATGGAATGTCTGGTAGGATGTGTAGCATGCAAGGAGATAACTGATAAAGCTGAATGCTGTAAGTAGAGCAGAATGGATTATTTCCCAGTGGGGAGGGTCATGAACCTTTTTTTGGACTATGCTTGTGCAATATGTTAGGCACATGCAAAATTAGTGTAATGCTACATCCTGAAAGTTCAGATACAGTTTTCAGGGTGCTCTTCAAGGAGGGTTTGTTCTCAGGTGTGGAAAATAAGCCACTCATACAGTATTTCCAGTATTCTGTGTCCACTTCTCTGTAGTCCTTTTCAGCTCTTGGATCTCCTTTCATTCCTTAGGGATTGTGTTGCACCTCAGCAAGTACACTACTTCAAAAAGCATTGTGTGTTAATAAGCTGGAACAATAGAAATAAACACTGGCCTTATAGAAAAAAAGCTTTTTTTTTCTTTAGTAAGAGAAAAAATTTTGAAAATTTGAGACATTTGTAATAACATCTTTGCAGTTATTGTGTTTTTGCATATTCTGTGTAGAATAATTTGCATATTTTCTGTGTAGAATAATCTGAATCAAGTCCTATTGAGATGAGTAAAGGGTCTCAGTACAAAACCAGTGATGCTGGCTTATTTGGTGCTACTCAGAAAGTCAGTCTTTGCTGTTAGTTTATCATCCTGTGTTTTCATAGGTGGCATCCTCTATTGAACTTCAATAGTAGTAATTACATTAAGGAGAAATACATATTTAAATGGAGAAAATAGCGATTTCCTGGTTGCAAGATATTTTCTATTACATAATGTAACACGTCTTCTTTTTCAAACTTTTTTCCTAATTAGAAAACACATATAATTTCCTTTTAGTATCTTTTCTTCCATGGCACATATTTTGTGACACAGTGTGGTCTGAAGTCTTTCCTCTGTTGAAATGTCATGGCAAAAATCCCAGCAGCTTCAGAAAGTTTTCTTCCATGGTTTTTATTAAAAAGTGAAGATAATACTTAGGGAAAAATCTATGATTGCTGATTTTTGGTTTTGGCAGAAGTAAAATGCCTTTTGTCAAGGATCACGTTTCCTCTTCAGCCATTTGGTGTGATGTTCTTACCAGATATTCCTTAAGTGTACTGAGGCCCTGGGAGGACAGGAAGGGACAATGCACCATACATTTTGAAGCTCAAGCTCTATATGCTATCTAAACTCTGCATGGAAAGAATGAGAATTGATGTATTGAATATTTAGGAATTTAATTTCGTGTTGAGATAAACATGTATTGTTCTTTGTTAGTACTTTTGTCTGTAATTCCAAGTAAGTATGGCAAAGGTGAAGAGTAAAATGGGCTGTTGCTTCTAATTTCCAAACAAGAAAATATCTAGTGAGAAGATATGGGTGAAGCTCAGAGACCAGTCCTTTCTGCTTGAAAGAAGGATCTTGCAGTTTGTGCAGATCTTAAACAAAAAAAAAAAAAAAAAAAAAAAGCATTTAGATTTACTAGAATTAAGTAATGGGTTTTATACCATCTTTCCAAATACTAGTTAGCTATCTTTTGTGGAAGTATGACCTTGCAAAGTGCTAAGCAGCTGTTGGAGGTGTTGATTCCTTTATCTCCCACTGGACTGAGCACTTCTGTAGTTTGGTGCACTGAAAAAGTGCTTTTATTGCATGTTGTTAGAAGGAAATAATGCAGCTACAAGAAGTGTTCCATTTGTATTAGGGGTTATGCTGGCCCCAGGCTGTTTTTCTTTGTTCTTTTCTGCTGGTGAAAGTAGAGCACATTGAATGCCTTGCCTGCTGTGAAGTACCTGACACTAATATTCCTGTGTATGTGTTGGAAAGGAGCTCCTTGACTCAGTTATCAAAATACAATTTTGTTATGTTCGTAAGAGTTTGGATAGTGCCTGACAAATAGAGCACTTGTGCTGCAGCGATCTAAAACTCAAACTGGTGTAGGGTGTGTTTGCTTGTATTATTTCATGGTCTATTTTTTTGAAAATGATTTGTCAACATTAACTATTCCAGTCCATGATCAGAGATTTGGATGGACAGTAAGGAAACCTGTCAGAGCTGCTTGTGCTGCCCAGCACAAATCTTTATTCTTTCTTTTTCTTTGAAGGTTTTTTCCCTCCTGATTTTCTTTTGTATGCCTTTTCTTTATTATTACTAATCTTTTATTTTTGCTTTTCTAGGTCTGGGTGGGTTCAGTCACAGAAATAACTGTTGATGACCTATGTACAGAAGACAAGGACTCCTCACCATCAGAATTGATATATTCCATTACTCCACCTAGCAATGGACATGTAGCTCTGAAGTCTTCTCCAAACAAGAGCATCCTTAGTTTTACCCAGGCTCATATAATTGAAGGGCAGCTGGTATTTGTACACAATGGTATGTGGTTTCAAAAATACCACCTCTGTTTCAAAAATACTGCTCCTATTCAGTATACTTGTGTTTGTAATCCTTTGAAGATCTGCTTGCAATGTCACAAAATCTCAGAGCACAGTTATGTGATACATGTCACAAATTAAACAGGAAATGATCTGTTGACTACTTAAATGTGTGCTCACCAAGAAACGTTGGTGTGTTAGTGGTTCAGTTGATAGCAGCCTTCTTTCTGAATGCAGGTTTGCGGTAGGGGAACACTGCCTTGCAACTTTCAGAGATAGGAAATACATTTTTTTGACTATTGGAATTAAGAATCTCCTGAAGCCTTTCTGTCCTGCTGCAGTGCAGAGTTATTCATGGACCAACAGTCTCTCAGATACCTGCCGCATTGTAGTTGTGCTCCTGAGCAGCTCTGGGCAATGAAGTTATGAGTACCTCTCTTTTAGGCTGTGAAGTAATTCAGCTTTAACCATTGACTCTCTTCTGCCAGTGTCCAGAGGTAGAGATTGGGTTGTTTGTGCTGCTGCTACAGAGAGAATATGTGGCCAATAAAAAAAGAAGTTAGGGCAGCTTCATTTGTCACTGAGGGCAGTGTTATGAAGCCACAGGAATGAAGGTCCCAGTGGGTTCCAGCCAGTGGAAGAGGTGGGGCTTTTACAGGGCAGTAGTTACTTCTGCTCCAGCTCTGTTATCATGTTGCCTTATCTGAAGGAAGAAAGGATGTGCTAAAGAAGGAATAAACCAGTTTTGGGCAAGGACATGGAAGAGGTATAGCACTCTCTTGCTAGCCCTGAGGCAGGCTGGAATTATTTCCAGTGCTCCCTTGGGTGCAGCAGTCCCTCCAGATCTGTGCTGTGTCTTCATGAGGCTTGTTGCAGGTTAAAGTGCTCCGACTTGCGATGCACTGTCTTGCAGAGTGCATATGTGGTGCTGAAGTTGCTTTAAAAGCAACTGCTGGTGAGCTGTAAGTATCTTGCTCAAATAATTTGGTCAGGAAATTAAAGGTCAAGGGCATGGCAAAAGTGATGCAAGCTGTTTAAATTGTTCCGAGGGAGACTTTGACATGTAAAAACCCCTATGGTTGTAGGACGGTGGTAATCTCAGTGTGAGGAAATGAATCCACTCTGTGTTACAGAAAGGGCAAATGCACATCTGTAGCCTTAGGAAGTGAATCTCGATTAATAAAAGTAAAAAGCACAGCACTCCTACTTACTGGAGTAAATTTGAAATGCAAAATTGCTGAGGTCATGTGTCAGCTCTTGCAGCTGCTCTGGCTCTGCCATCTGCTCAGCCTCATGGCCTCCAGTGTTTCAGAAGGTACTTTGGACATTTTGCTTCTTTTCCTTTCTTAGTCTGTGATTTTCTTTCTTCCTTCATCTTGGACTGTTGCTAGAAGTGTACTTGTTCCTCTCATCTTCCTGGGGCCTTTCCTTGTCTGGTTGCTGTTATTTGGCTTTTTAACCCCTTTTCTCTTCAGGTGCTCTGTCCCTCGTCTTCAGTCTTATAGTGTGTGCTAGCTTCTTTGGCTCCTCCTTCATCACTGATGGATGAGGAAGTCGATGAGGCATTCTACTGGCAATTGAAAATAGCCTCATGCTCACAGGTCCTAGTTCTCATGGGGACTTCAACTACCCTGACATTTGCTGTAAAAGCAAAACAGCTGGGCAGGCAGAGTCCAGAAGATTCCTCCAGATCATTGATGATAACTTTTTAATACAGCTGGTTGAGGAACCCATGAGGAGAAGAGGTACTGAATCTAGTACTGACTAAAAAAGAAGGTCTGGTGGGGATGTGAAGGTTTAAGGCAGTCTTGGCTGCAGTGACCACAAGATGGTGGAGTTTAGGATCTTGTGTGGAGGAAACAAGGCAATAAGTAGGATTACAACCCTGGACTTCAGGAAGGCCTTTTCAAAGACCTGCTCGGAGGAGTGCCGTGGGCTAAGGCACTGGAGGGTAGGGGGGCCCAAGGGAGCTGGTTAATATTCAAGCAACACTTTCTCCAAGCTCAAGATCGCTGCATCCTTAAGAGTAAGACATCTGGCAGAGGAGGCAGGAGGCCTGCGTGCATGAGCAAGGAACTTCTGGAAAAATTCAGTCAGAAGAAGGAATTCTACAAAATGCGGAAAAAGGAACTGGCCACTTGGGATGAATATAGGGACATTGTCAGAGTATGCAGGGTTGCAATGGGGAAAGCCAAGGCCTTCTTGGAATTAAATCTAGCAAGGGATGTCAAGGACAATAAGAAGGGCTTCTTCAAGTACCTCAGCAGCAAAAGGAAGATCAAGGAAAGTGTGGGGCCACTGCTGAATGAGCTGGGTGCCCTGGTGACAGAGGATGCAGAGAAGGCAGAGTTACTGAATGCCTTCTTTGCTTCAGTCTTTACTGCTGGCCCTCCGGAATCCCAGGCCCTGGATGTAAGAGGAATTCTGGAGAGAGGAAGACTTTCCCCTGGCTAA